GGCTGGGGAATTCTGGGAGTTGAAGTCCATTCATCTTAAAGTCTGCCGGCTGGGGAATTCTGGGAGTTGAAGTCCATTCACCTTAAAGTCTGCCGGCTGGGGAATTCTGGGAGTTGAAGTCCATTCATCTTAAAGTCTGCCGGCTGGGGAATTCTGGGAGTTGAAGTCCATCCATCTTAAAGCCTGGTTGGCTGATGGATGTGACCAATCAAAGGGTCCGGGGGACGAGGGGGCTTCCTTCCTTCCTGGCCAGTCAGCTCCCCCCTTCAGAGATAATTGTCTTCATCGCTCCCATGCTCCGCCTCCTCCTCTTCCTCGTCTCCCGCCAGGGCTTCGATGTCATGCGTGATGTTGGCGATCCGGCGATTGAAGGACTCCGACTCGGAGTGCAAGGACCAGCTGTCGTAGCTCCGCACGGCCGAAGCCGAGGTGCTGCTCATGCTCTTCTTGATGCGGCCAAAGCTGTCGGTCAAGATGCCACCTTCCCGGATGCCGATGCTCTCCAGGAAGCTCTCAAAGTAGCCGATGTCCCGGTCAGGGATGAAGGGCCGCATTCCTGCAGGGGGAGAGGAAAAAGGAGGCTCCCTTGGGGCTCTCGGAGCCGGGTGGGTTGATGTTGTTGTTTTTTTGGCAGACATTTCGCGACCCTTCTAGATAATATCATCTGGGCTAGAAAGGAGGGGGATTTGCAGGGAAGAGGAGAGAGGGAGCAGGAGGAGGAGGAGGTGCTTGCTGGGCTTGGTGGTTTTCTTGCAGACATTTAATTCCCCAACTAGGTAATAATATCAGAGTTCTCCTCTTCCTCCCTTTTCTTCCTCCTCCTTTTCCTCTTCCCCTTCTCCTCTTCCTCCCTCCTCCTCTTCCTTCCTTTTCCTCCTTTTTCCTCTTCATCTTCCTCCCTCCTTCTCTTCCTCCCTCCTCCTCTTCCCCCTCCTCCTCTTCCTCTCCTCCTTTCTCCTCTTCCTCTTCCTCCCTCTTCTTCCTCTTTTCTCCCCCTCCTTTCTCCTCTTCATCTTCTCCCTTCTCCTCTTCCTCCCTTTTCCTTTCTCCTCTTCCTCTTCTTCCCTCCTCCTCTTCCTCCCTCCTCCTCTTCCTCTTCCTCCCTCCTCCTCTTCCTCTTCCTCCTTTCTCCTCTTCCTCTTTTCTCCCCCTCCTTTCTCCTCTTCCTCTTCCTCCCTTCTCCTCTTCCTCTTCCTCCTTTCTCCTCTTCCTCTTCTTCCCTCCTCCTCTTCCTCTTTTCTCCCCCTCCTTTCTCCTCTTCCTCTTTTTCCCTCCTCTTCCTCTTCCTCCCTCCTCCTCTTCCTCCCTCCTCTTCCTCCTTTCTCCTCTTCCTCTTCCTCCCTCCTCTTTCTCTATTCTCCTCTTCCTCCCCCCTTCTCCTCTTCCTCTCTTCTCCTCTTCCCCCCTTCTCCTCTTCCTCCTCCTTTTTCTCTTCCTCCCTTCTTCTCTTCCTCTCCTTCCCTTGTCCTCTTCCTCTTTCTCCCTGCTCCTCCTTCCCCTTCCTCCCAACAAATGTCTCACTTAGCGGCAGAAATGTTGGGCCCCATTGTGTTCGTAACGTGAGGACTACTTCTATTCGAATTGGCATTATTTGAATTGACGTTATTTAAATTGGCGTTACTTGAAATGGACATTGTTTCAATGGACCCCATTCTGCCCGGCAGAGATACTGCCCTGACTAAAGACTTATTATTATGATTGAAAACGTCGTTTTGCTTTTTCATCTAATCCTAACTTTGAAGTCACGATTTCCAAATTTCTAAACTTGCCAGGATGTCTAGTGAGTTTTAAAATGCAGACGAGCAGATTTCACAGCCGTCCGGATGAAATCAGGAGCAAGACAAGGGGGAATTAGAGCCCTGAGGAAAAAGGGGTCAAAAAAGTCAAGATGGCGCCCATCACATGACCAGAACCCTGCCCGGTTGGGACTTCCATGGCGAGTGGTCGCCATCTTGAACCTCCCACAAATCAAAATACTTTCCCACTTCCGGAGATAGAGGCATTTACCCAAAAGGAGAAATTTCCGCTTTTCCCCATAGAGACTGAGGAGTCCGGTGCAGTATCTTTCCACCGCCAAGCCCGTCCGGTATTCACGGAGCAGAAGGGCGAATCCTTGGATCTCCTGGGGGCTCAACTTGCTTCGTAACTGTGGGGCAAAAGAAGAGGAGTTGTTATAGGGAAGGAATTGGGAAAGCCCTACTGGATCTCCATGGGC